CCTGCCGGAAAACCCTCCAAAACCCAGAAAAAGCAGAGCGTTCCCACAGAGGCATTTTTCTTACTCTGAAGCCTTGATCTCCTTATCAAACGTATGTGGGCAGAAATGATGTTACGGCTACGTCCTGTTACAGCAAATGCTTTTCTGCAGATGTGCATCCTATTTTGCCGTGGCCTTGCTCACACCTCCTTAGCATTTGCTTTCTGGGAATGTCTGAGTGATTGAGGGTGAAGGCCTGGCCCCATGCAGTTCTGCCGTCTCATTCGATGGAGCCAGTATTTCACCTGTGCTAACAGTGACAGAGACTGAATGTCGGAGCTGCATGCACAAGCTTTCACAGAAATCAATTCTCACATACAGCATTAATATTGGAAGTGCCTCTCGCTCACCTAATCGTTGGCCAGGCACAATAACCTGTGACTAATAGCCATTCACGGTTATACAGCACAGCCTGATTATAAAAATTTGCCATTAATCCGCAACAAAAAAAATCTCAAGCTGTTAATTGACCAACATGTATTCCTGAGGAAATCGTAGTAATCAGATGGATATTCATGGCACAGAAAGGAGAGATACAGCTAACTCGTGCTTTGCTTTTATGATTCATCGGCTCTGTTCTACTTTTGATTATTTTTTCCTCATGTGAGGCCAGTATTGTAAATCAAAGATTTGAGAAATAAGCCTGTGCTTGAAGTGACCCAAATTAAAAGCCAATTGCCACCTTTCTTCTCTTGCTAGGCAGCCGTCCATTTCTGTGCAGGAGCAGACGTATGTCACACAGCTACAGAAGCAAACCGGTTAGCTCATGGTCTGCCTTTGCCAATGTTTAAGGTCAGCTACTGGAAAAACTTACAGAACAGCTGTTACAGCCAGGTGGGATCCTGCAGAAGGGTCTTCACTGAGAACTGTTACTCTTTGCTCATTGTTGTGCAAGTCAGTAAGACTCTGCTTTGGAGAAACAGCCTGTGATTTGTGAAACAAGGACAGCAAGATGTGTGAAGGTCAGTTTTTGGGCTTGGGCTTTTTTTTTTTTTTTCTGGCTATTCAAGTTTTTCTGTTGTAAGCTTCCTTTTTTGTTGACAAATGGGGCCCATTCCTGAAAATAGCTGGGACAGCTTGTCCACATGGCAGATTTTCTTCTTCCCTACCCTTAAAGTATTAAAGGACTTTGAGCAACACTCTTTGTGATTGGCGTGAAGGGCAGAGGCACCAGTCTGGCAGAGAGGACACAGCATCACCACTGCAGCCCAAGGAGTTCTCAGACTTTACCTAAACATGGTGACCTTCTGGCATCTCTGCTCTGGTCAGCAGCCTTCACTTTAGGACACAGACATGGATCTAGTTACGTTTTTAATGAGCAGAGCTCGGAAAAGTTCTTGGTTGACTGTAGGAAAAAAAGACAGCAAGCAGACCGTAAATCAGGTCATTGGATGAATTCAGAATGCACTAATAAAATCAGAGCTTCCAATAAATTTCATTTCAGGCAGAGTAGAAACAGTTTCTCAGTTGAGAGTTCAGGACAGATTATAATTTCAGATGTGTGTCAGGCCAATGCAATATGTCTACAAAAATGCTTGCAGGCAGGCAGGAATGGCTGGTCCAGAGTCAGGTCCTCACACCAGTAGGTTTGAATAAAAAAGCAAAAATTTTCAGTTCTCTGAGCAAAGCTGAATCTAATTAAATATTTAATGTGGTTTTTTTCCTCCTAAATCCTTTCGTTTCTTGCTCTTTCATACTGTGATATGATGACATTTGAACAACAAATGCAGTCTTGGTAGGTTGGTCTCCTGGTACTGCTTTTTATATGAAAAGCTTGCACATCCCAGCTGAAGTCCAGATGCTGCATTTATGAAATATTTTGTCGTGATCAATTTTTTAAAAATATTTTTCCATCCCATGAAATTAATAGGTACCTGGGGAAATACCAACCAACTCCTTCCCATTCTGGCAAATACTAACCTTTCCCAGATGGAAAGGGATTTCTCTTTCCCTTTATTTACCTGCAAGATGTCCTTGCTGGTGCTGGGTATCACGGAGGGAGAAGGAAAAATAAGAAAACCTTCATAAGTGGAAAACGTTACAAACAGACCAACTGCACATACTCAACTAAGAACACTGCCTTGTGAGGATCCATTGCACTGAATAAACCCTGCATAATCTTCCGGGGTCACAGAGTGAGTCATTAGCAAGACAGCACCAAGACAGAAGCATCCTGATATTTGTAACTACTCTGATTTAAGACCCCAATTTAAAAGGCCATAGGTTTGTGCTGGCGGCGCAGTCATAGAGATAACTACTTATGGCTTTACAAATTGGTTTTCTTGCAGTCTTCTCACTACTATGGGCCTGCAGCCCTTTTTTTGTTTTGTCTTTTTTACTTGTCTGTGTTCTGTTCAAAATTATTTATGTTTTTTCTACAAAAAACAAAGCAAGACGAGAGATGAGCAGGAGGCTCTCCTCTGCTCTGATGTGCCCACAGCAGGACTGCGTGTGCCTCTCAGCAGCCCCGAGTGCTCGGGCCAACTCTGTGCTCTGGGCCTATGGTTGTGCAAGAGAGACTTTAGGATGCTTAAAACCAACCAGGTGACCCAGGAGACTCCTCAGAGTCTCTGAGGAGAAGAACTTTTTTTTCTCCTTTTTTTTTTTCCCTCATTTCTTGCTAAGATTTTCCTTATTGGTGCAGTTCCCTTTCAGAATGGGGAGTCTGTAGGTGGCTGCTTTGGCATCATCATTCAAAACAGAGTAGTTTAAAAGCTGCTGCTATGGCATTAGCCTTGGCTGCCACGTTCCCCCTCTGTTAGCAAAGGGAAAATTTTTCTTGTACTTATTTTTCTAACAAAAAGCAAATACTTCTTTTCGTAGACTTCTGTGGTGTTTGCACCCACCATGTAGTCCAGCAGAGCATGTCAGGACAGATGTCAGGTTACAGGGTTGGTGGGTAAGGGAAGAGCAACCGACATCATCTACCTGGACTTGTGCAAAGCATCTGACACTGTCCCACACAACATCCTTGTCTCTGAACTGGAGAGACACGGATGTGACAGATGGAGCACTCGGTGGAGAAGGAATTGGCTGGATGGTCGCGCTCAAAGAGTTGTGGTGAACAGCTCGATGTCCCCTGGAGAGCGGTGACGAGTGGCGTCCTCAGGGGTCGGGGCTGGGACCGGCGCTGTTTGACATCTTTGTTGGGGACACGGGCAGTGGGATTGAGGCACCCTCAGCGAGTTTGGCAACGACACCAAGCTGTGTGTGTGGGGTCACACGCTGGAGGGCAGGGATGGGCCATCCAGAGGGACCTGGACAGGCTGGAGAGGTGGGGCCGTGCCAACCTCATGGAGTTCAGCAAGGCCAAGGGCAAGGTCCTGCCCATGGGTCGGGGCAATCCCAAGCACAAATCCAGGCTGGGGGAGGAGTGGATTGAGAGCAGCCCCGAGGAGAAGGACTTGGGGGTGTTGGTGGATGGAAAACTGAGCGTGAGCCAGCAGTGTGCGCTGGCAGCCCAGAAAGCCAACGGTATCCTGGGCTGCACCCAGAGCAGTGTGGGCAGCAGGGCGAGGGAGGGGATTCTCCCCTCTACTCTGCTCTCATGAGAGCCCCTCTGGGGGCACCAACACAAGAAGGACACGGACCTGCTCCAGCAGGTCCAGAGGAGGCAACAAGCATGATCACAAGGTGCCTGGAGCCCCTCCCCTGTGAGGCCAGGCTGAGAGAGTTGGGGGTGTTCAGCCTGGAGAAGAGAAGGCTCTGGGGAGAGCTTATAGCGGCCTCCCAGTGCTTAAAGGGGCTGCAGGGAAGATGGGGAGGGACTCGTTATCAGGATAGGATGAGGGGTGATGGTCTTAAACTGAGGTGGTGGATTTAGATTAGACATAAGGAAGCAATTCTTCCCTGTGAGGGTGATGAGACACTGGCCCAGGTTTCCCAGAGAAGCTGTGGCTGCCCCCTCCCTGGCAGGGTTCAAGGCCAGGTTTGACGGGGCTTTGGGCAACCTGGGCTAGTGGAAGGTGGCCCTGCTGTGTCTTTAAGGTCCCTTCCAACCCAAACCAGTCTATCGCTGTTTGGCTAGACCCAGCCAGCCACTACATCACTCTGTTTAAGTGAAGGCTGGTTCGATACAGACTAACTGTGGAAAATGGTCATTTGTCACCTTTTCGATAAATACAGATAATTTCTGAACATTTGTGTTGTAGATGCACACGTTTGTCACTAACAAACATAGCTGTTTGTAATTTCTCCTGACAACCCTTCAAGCAGGTGTGCTTTGAGGGTACTGCCCCTTTGCAGAGGCAGCTCCTTTAGCCGCGCTGGCTGACACCTGCCCCTCAAAGGCACAGTGAATTTTGAAGTGGAAAAGCAGCACAGGCTTGCAGCCTGTGACAGTTGTGTATGTTTGAGTCAGTTCATATACACGGACATCAGATGAAAAAAAAAAAAACCCCACAGCATCAGTAAAAAGAAATCTGAACTTGCTTCTGCACTAGAAGAAATATATACTGAGGCATTATAGGTTTGGGAAATTATTTTTAGTGCTCTTTTCCCTTTTTTCCTTTTAAAGATGCAACTACATGCCGTTGTACTGTTACAACATGCACAGTAATTTCAAATGATTAATACTGTGATAGCATAATCTCATAACAAATAATTTTTATCCATTATCTAAAATCAACTTTTAATTAAAAGCGTACGTTACATTTGTTTTCTGATACTAAATGACACTGATTATTTTAAAATTACGTGTGATGTTGGCACATACTAAATACATGGCATGTGTATTTCTGTTGGGCTTTTTACTGTCTGCCTGAAACGTGAATTTCAATTATTAAGCATTAGTAAGTATTTAGGAATGTCCTGCTATGTAGGGTCTGCAATTAATTTTGCCAGGAATTATCTGTCTTTTCATAGCCTACATTTTAGATGGAACACACTATTGTCTTTCAAAACTGTACTGTATTTGCACAAAATTGTTTTGTGTTTTGTTTTTTTTCCTAACCTTTAACAAGAAAAGTTCGCAGGAACCAGAGCCCAGCTGAAACCCGGATCAAGCTCCAGTAAAGGTTTGATGGGCGTATATTGTGTATTTTCAAACTCAGTGCATCTTGTTGGCGTGTCACGCGGGCAACCCTGACCGTACTGCGCTCTCGCACCACGTGCCAGTCCCTTTGATGTTCTGTATTTGCCTCGGGGGGCTCAGTCACCTGCAGACACGCACGCTCCCTCAGGAACACGCGTGTCAGCGTGTGGCCGCAGAGAGAAGGGGAGGACGCCTGGGTGTGTCACCGAGCACCTGGGCCAGGCCCCGCGGGGCTGAGGAGAGGGGGGCTCTGGGCATCCCCACGCAGCTCTTGAGGTAAGCAGAGCTCATCCTCTACTGTAACCCCAACAACGGTGCACCACAGCCTAGCTTCACTAATAACGAAGTTGCACACTCGGTACATCGGAATATTTTATTTTTGACTTTACATGCGGTGTTAAAAACCCAAAGAACGTATTATTTACACATCCACAATACAAGTTTACAAGATATCTATACATGTTAAAGTACTCTATAGTATAGAGCAGCTTCATTTAAGGGTTACTTTTTTTTATGCCGTACCATTAAAAAAGATACAATCTGCGTTTACCTTTGCACAAATGGATAAAGCATCTTTTATTATTAAATTAACAGAATAAGGACTAGGTTGAATGTTAGAAATTTCAACATAAATACTGAGAGAACTCACATTACCATCTACAAGGCAGCACAATGTTACAGGAGGTTATCAGGGTTCACATACATTTATCTTTCGGTTTCACACAAGTCTGTATTAATACTTGTAAAGTGAATTCGGATCAGTTTGTGTCTTTTGACAACTGAGTACATTTTTAATAGTTATTAATCTGTAGTGTTTTAGTTGCAAGACAGAAGTGTTTAGGAAGAGAGATCATTGATTTTTGGATCCAGAGGTCTCAGGAAATAAATGTCCCTTACAGCCTTACAAGAAAAAATGACTACTTCTATCCTTTATTCTTTGTCTGTAACAGAGATCGAGTTTTCAGTGACTAACCTTTTCTCCCCTTTGAACACATGATATAAATCTCCACCATCTCTGAAACCCATTGCAGTTATCTGTCCCGCTAATTCATGAATATTCCTCTGCCATAGTTATTTCTATAGTTATGTTCAATAAACAATGTGGTAGTGTGTAGTTTGCAAGCTAAAATAGCCATCTGTGTTGAACATCAGCTGCAAGTGGATACTGTAAAACCTACTAAATAGCTTACACAACTTTAGCAGGTGTTCCATTACCCTAGAAACCTCATTTGATTTCACATTATAACTGTTTGATCCTTCAGAGAGCTGGAGTGGAATGTTTATCATGGTAAGGTGATTTAATGCTGCTGTCTTCTTGGATTGTAGGCTGCCTTTAGTTACCATTAATTATTCTTGCTTTTTATCTTTTTTTTTTGGGTGCTGTTGAGAGGTTTTATAACTGGCACTCGGGAGATATGTGCTATAGTGAGAACACTTGACAGATTTTTTTTTTTTTTTTTTAGTACTTTTATCATTTGCATGAATAAGGCACAAAATGCACAGATTCAGGTAAACTCACACATAGTATTTACAGAATATTGTCATTACCTGCATGACTTTGGAAAAAAAAAAAACAAACAAAACCCTTACATTACACAACAAAAACAAATTGATTGCACTACTGTTGAGTTTTCACAGACTGCTTCTGCCAGGCCAATTAATGTTTCTTCTGTTTTATTGACAAGAGTCTATCAGCGTGTAGGGCATTATTAAATGCAACAAAAACGTAACCTTCTCTAGTTACACAGGCCTTCGCCAGGTCAATCGATTATTAGCTGCCCTCAATGAGAAGTACAGGGGCTGAAGTTCACAGTGGCCAGGTATTGGATGGAGGCACTGTGGAAACACAGTAAAACCCCCCCGTTCCAGCCCAAAGCACTAGATTTGAAATGCACAGCTCTGAATCAATAGCAGCATAACAGAGTTATGAAGAATTAAACGGATCTGCACTCTTTCACTGGGTGACTATTTCATCAAGGCTGGCAGAGATGCACAGTTCATCCTTAGCTGTCTCCAACCTGAACCCAACGGGCTGCAGAAGGCAGAGTCATCTGTTTGTTCAGTTATGCTCAATGTAAACAATTCCATAGCATAAAAGATGCAATGGGAATCTAAGTACATCCTAGTGTGTACAGTACACACGCACATCCACACACACGCACAGCTTCATCTGTGGCACAAACAAAATGCCACACACATGGAGAGAAAAAAAATAATAATGCTACAGTTGGGCCAGAGACTGAATTCCAGCAAATTGATTATTAACCCAGATATTCATTGAGACATTACCATTTTCTGACATTTGTGCAAGAGGCAAGGTGAATGCATACATATTAAAATGTTCACATTTAATGGGAAGGACCACACTTAATGGCAGTCTAAAATGGAACCCATTTTTCAAGTATTTGCTTACTGATTTTTTTTTTTCCCAATAACTCTTTTTAGCTATTTAGAACAGTAAAGTAGCCCCCACCCCATTGTGCTACATGTCTCCTTAGCTCCAAACAAAAGAAATGTAATGACCAGCACTTTCCTTTGTTTTGTGTGTTTGCTCTTAGCAAGTACACGAAGTCTTGCTCTAGCTACATGTGGCGAGACACAGATGTTGCTGAACTAAAGACAGTTTCTTTGGCCACTTTGTTCTCTTCAATAACAAGCAAGTCTCTGTCTTACGTGTCTACCACAACATCATCTCACAACCTGTACAGGTCAATGCCACACTCATTTTTACCACAGACGTGTCCTAGTAACTGTATTTGTTCAGTGGTCTGACTGAAGTTGTCTGAGGAACGAATGAGGGTTTTGGTGGCACGTCAGGTTTTAAGGAGGGTGTCCTCTTTATTCCTGTACGAGGAAGGGTGCCATTGCTCGTGTAACTGCTTTGCCTGGACAAGGAAGGCTGGAGGTGAACGGTGACAGGCGTCCCTTGCATGTAGTCCATCTTTGTGCCTGCCGAGGGAGGCATGTACCCCCCACGATTAATACTAGGCTGTCTGGATAACAAAACACCATTTGGTGAGTTTAAGTTTTTAGGAAGGGCAGATATTGAATGCCTTTGTGAAGAATTTTTGGGATAACCTCTCTGCCTTTCCAAAGAGGTCATTGGTACTGCAGGGGTGGTGGGAACGTCAACTCGTTTTGTGGGGCTGTTTCTTGGAAGAGTTGATGGAGGAGAGTATAAAGATGCCTCCCTGTTGGGGACCTTAGGGGGGATCTCAGACATATTTCCCATTGGATCCAGCATTAAAGTCTGGTGAGCTACTTGAATATCTCCCATAATTGCTTTGGGATTACCAGTAGTTTCATTTAAGTGTTTCAGAAAATCATTCAGGGTGTTCCTGGAATCAACAGATCTCCTGTGGTCTCTTTTGCTGGATGTTTTTGTAAGTGGATGATCAATATGTTGCATCTTTTTGTCTGCCTTGTGCGCATTAGAATTTGAGAAAGATGTATTGTAATCGTGGGTCGCGTTGGGAAGAACGATAGCGCTAGGAATATGCCCGTGGCTTAGCGGAGAGTGGGGTGGAGGACTGGAAGGAAAAAACTGAGGGCTTTTTAGGGGGGTTTCCTTTCGTGAAGCATTGAGGTTACTATGAGCTTTGTCCGACTGACTTTTCATAGCCTGCAGAGTCTTTTGTTGAAGAACTGGTGTAGATTCAGGAGTTGGAAGCGCAGCTAATTCCGGAGGCTGGCCCCTGTGGTCCATCATCATGGACTTCGTATCACCGTTTGGTGGCAACTCCTTTCTGCTAGTCAGCAGGTTGGTGTAAAGTTTGGGTGAATCAATGTTTTGCTGATATTCCTTGACGGGACTATCAAACAGCCCATTCAGTTTAGCAAAGCTCCCACTGGAGTCAGTACAGGACTGAGCTGATTCTGCATCTTTGTGTATTTTTCTGGATTTCCGTACAAATATATCCCGGTAACAGTAAACGGCCACTCCCGCAATAAAGGCTCCCAGGACAAAAGCAGCAAAGACACAAGTGATTAGGACATTCATATGTACCATTTGGTTGGACTCTCCTGATTGTACTTCCCACCTTACACCTGCAAAAGACATGCAGTATATCATAAATCTACATGTACTTCATAACCAGTATGTTTCAGAAGAAGGCAGCCCCTCTCAGGGACTTGTCTATTAATTATTTTTAAGTGCTCTGGGTGTAGCGTTAGTGAAACTGAGTTGGATCCTACAACCCACAGCATGGGTGAATGCAAATAATTTTTTAAATGACTGTGCAAGCATTGATCAGTTTAAATGAAGACTGACTGTTTTCTTTGATAGTGAGGAACGCCTGTCGAAGCTTCTCTCCTCATACTGTGTTTACTTTAGCCTGTCCCCAAATTTCCTCTAAGGCTCACAAACAGGGGCCTGTACGTTATTAACATTAATGATTTCTGCTGGAAAATTGAGGTTAGAAAGTGCTACTGGGCCAGACAGCAATTAATAACTCATGGATGGATTTCTTTCTCAACTTCTGCTCAACTCATAAATCAGTATCAAAAGAGAGACAGGATTACAGAAATGTTGTGTAGAACTGTATAATGTACGTACTGCATTGTTATAACCACCTGAATGTAATAATGGTGCAAAACTTGTAAACTAATACATCCATAGGTTGGTAGCCTTGGAGTGGCACACCTTGCATTATGTAAGTGTACAATTTTTAACGTTCAACATTTTATCATTCTATTAGAGCACTATTTTTTCTTTTGTCAATAACGAACATAAATACTTGCATAACATTAAAAAAAACACCAACTTGCAAGATTAAGTTATTAGAGAATGTTAAAATTTAGAAAACTTTTCGCTTAGGCCAAGAAGTTGGATATTGGATTAGTTTATTTGTGTATTAACAAGGTCCCTTTGTTTTTCGAGATTTTTAAAGCAACCACAGACATCTTGCAGCTAAGACAATGTTAGTTTGTAATCAAAATAATTCTGTTAACCCAAGGGATGCTCTATTCTGCTATCCCAAGGGATGTTAAAATGGAAGAGCAAGAGGGAAGGAACAGATTCAACTTTTGTTAGAGGCAAGGCCTTTGAACACTGTTAATGTTCAGGGTTATAGGTTTTAATGGCACTGTGCAGAAGAAGAAAGAAAACATGAGTAACGTTCACAAATAGCTATGACACAAAATGTGATTCAGAACCAAGAGCAAATGATAACAAAAACTTAAAGCAAAATGGAAAATAACTGCAACAAATTAAAATGACAAATGCACTGCCATAATGGCTGATAGGAA